TATATATACATATATACATATGCATATGCATATGCATATGCATATGCATATACATATACATATACATATACATATATTAGACTGTACTTGTATCATAGTAACGAACCCCAAAAGAGTGCAGGCAATGTGTTAAGGCCTCTGTATTGGGCCGCTGTTTTCCCAACCCCCTAGGTCTTTGTAGTAGTGCTCAACCCCCAAACCTTTGTCTGTTTGGAAGACTCCTCCTCAACCTGAAACCTAAAACATAAACCACCCCAAAACCCGAACCCTAAACTAAAACCTTCCATAGACCCGAAAACCCTGCAGCCTAAAATCCCAAACCATGCAAGCTTAACCCCCGAACACACTACTCACATGTACAAACAACCGAATATGGTTTCTTCAATCTTTGTGCTGCAGTAGTTTAAAATGTTGTATCGTGCTCAATAGTAGTTTTGAGAAAAGATAACAAGATAGACTAGAGCACATTTCCAGACTCCCAAGGATTGCAGAAACGAGTACAACAATTGTCATGCTCCATGTTGAACTGACCCGATCTACCCTGCACGATTTATTGCATACATCCCAGGACACCAGCAGGGTCGAACGACTCTACATGGGATTTTCCGAAAATTAGGGGTACCTTATTTGGAGCCCTTATAATAAGGATCCTACTATTTAGGGTACTATATTGGGGTCCCCTATTTTCTGAAACTCCCACACCCTTCTTAAGATAGATTACTAGCCTAGGCAGACTATTAGAATGTAATACAACATAGCGACGTAGTACAACAGACCCGGTTTTGGCTTCAGGTTGTCGGATTATCAATGCAGTGCTGTGGAGCTACACTCACCTGCCTAGGTAAACTTCCTACACCCTAGACTAGGTGTCGATTTCAACAGTCTCCAAATTTCTGTATCATTAGGGCTCTATATGAAACAATAAAGGATGTTAACAAACATCCCAAATCGATACCTAGTTAACCCGGGATCCTCGACCAAAGGGTCGCCTTTGGGATTATAAGGGTTTCGAGCAAGAAACACCACGGGCGATCCTAGGGACATCCAAGTACAGCCTAACAATTGTGGGAGCTTAGGGTTTAGGGTTTAGGGCTTACGGCATTTGATGGGTTTGGACCTAATTGACTGAGTTACGGTCTACAAAGCCAAGAAACGCTGGTTGAAGGCTTGTGATAAGGTCGAGGGATTCCTCGTCGACTTATTCCGATCCCCATATTCGGTCGCTCAGGGTGCTGGGCTGCTGGGCGCTCACCCGTTCCGGCACAACTCGAAACTAAACCCTGAACGCTAAACCCCTAGGTAAACCCTACTGTTGCCAGGGAGTTTAGCATGAGACTTCTCGACTCACTAACTTAGAGTGGAAATTGTGGTTCTTAACCTCCAAGGTGCCTCGCTTATAGACCACATAGTCAGAATCCGAATAGGGATGCCGCTGCTTTAGGTCTATAGTGGGTCCCCTGTCCTTTATCCCTAGGGCTCTAAGGACTCATATATTGAGGGTTTTGGGTCCCAAAGACCATACTTTGTAAGACATTTGGGCTATTTTGATGCCGAGGGTATTGTAACTAACACACACTAAACCCTAAACCCTAAGCCAAACCTTTAAATTCGAAACCTTGCGCCTGTTCAAAGGAGATGACATCCGGCTGGTTCTCTGCAGCGGCGGGCTGGCAACCGCTCACCTGCTTAGGCTTTAGGCTTTAGGCTTTAGGCTTTAGGGGTTTAGGGTTTAGGGTTTAGGGCTAAGCCCGACGTTTAGGGCTAAGCCCGATACCTTAAAACCCAAACAACCCTGAAACACTAATGTCCTAAAACCCCAGAACCACTAAAAGCTTTAAAACACCCAAGGCCCTGGAACCCTTAAAAGCAACTACCAACCAAGCACTAAAAATTCCTATGGGCCCTACATGTTCAACATCTTGCAAGTGTTGATTAAACCCACAAACCCTATGTTCATCATATCCAAACCCCCGGGAGGATCCAAAAAGTAGATCCCTTGATGGGGGTTCCTATAAAGTACCCTTAGTACTATGGGGCCCTAGATTAGGCGATCTACTTTCTAGATCTCCTCCCTGAACGCCAAACCCGAAGCACCTCGACCCAAAAGCCTAAACACCAAACCCTTATAGAACCCTATAGATCCCTGAAAAGGAGCCCTAAACCCCATAAACCCTGAACCCCAAGCTCTAACCCGCTAATTATGCAATGGCCTTTTGGCCTAAGGCTACGGCCCGTGGGTCTCTCCCTATATCTTAAGTTATTAGGGATTAGGGGTTCAGTCGATTTAGGGGTTTGGGGTTTTAGGTTTTGGGGGCTTAGCGGTTGAGGAGTTTCGGTTTAGGGGTTAGGGGTTTAGGGATTTCGGTTTAGGGGTTAGGGTTTAAGGGTTAGGGTTTAGGGCTTAGGGTTTAGGGGCTTCGGGTTTAGAGGTTTAGGGGTTTAGGGTTCATGTTTCTATTTAGGGCCTGCCCAGGCCTAGACCGTAGACCCAGAGTTTCGGGTTCGTAGGATTTTAGGGTTCAGGAAAGATGTCCAGGCCCTATGAATTGTGTGGTAATGATATGGAAAATATCACTTACACGTTCGAAAACCCTACACATGCATACAACACCTGTGCAACTTTGGAAACGCAGTTCTGCAAGCTCATTGTCCAGCATGGTCGTGGTTCAGTCCATGTTTTCGGACCTTCACGTAAATCACGCGCGTATGAGCAGCTGCAGGGGTTCCAGCTTGGGGTCGCTGGGACCACATCCAGATTGTAGTTGTGGAAGTTGGGCGTGACCTGGGAGTTTCCAATTATGGGGGACCCTAATATAGTGGTCTAAATAGTAGGATCCTTATCTAGGCTGTTCGGTAACCCACTGGGAAACAATATATGCTTTTTTCGGCTTCTCATTTTATACTAGGAACCCAGAAACCTGGAAGTAAAAAGTGTACCACTGAACAGCCTGGTTATTGTAACGGTTGATGTCCTTAAGGTGATGCAGGATTTATATCATCAACCGAAGGACCCCAAAATAAGATACCCCTAATTTTCGGAAATTCCCTCCTCGACCTCGGTCTCGTGACGTGGAGGAAGACTGCAACGTGCAGCCGCCTTCTATACTGAACTTAGAACCCTAGCAAAAATTCTCATTTTAGCTGTTTCTTAGAGATTATAATAACCAAAAACGAAAAAATATTTTTAAGTACCCCTAAGCCTTATCCAGTCTGAGGTGCCACGTGCAAGGACAGGGACGAACTTCGGCCTAGCTTGCTGCAATATAAGAGCCTTCATAATTACATAGGGTTTTGGGGAAAAGAGCCTTCATGATAACATAGGGTTTTTGGGGAAAAGAGCCTTCATAATTACATAGAGTTTTGGGGAAAAGAGCCTTCATAATTACATAGGGTTTTGGGGAAAAGAGCCTTCATAATTACATAGGGTTTTGGGGAAAAGAGCCTTCATAGTTGCATAGGGTTTTGGGGAAAAGAGCCTTCATAATTTCATAGGGTTTTGGGGAAAAGAGACTTCATAATTACATAGGGTTTTGGGGAAAAGAGCCTTCATAATAACATAGGGTTTTGGGGGAAAAGAGCCTTCATAATTACATAGGGTTTTGGGGGAAAAGAGCCTTCATAATTACATAGGGTTTTGGGGAAAAGAGCCTTCATAATTACATAGGGTTTTGGGAAAAGAGCCTTCATAGTTGCATAGGGTTTTGGGGAAAAGAGCCTTCACAAGTACATAGGACTTTGGGGGAAAAGAGCCTTCATAATTACATAGGGTTTTGGGGAAAAGAGCCTTCATAATTACATAGGGTTTTGGGGAAAAGAGCCTTCATAATTACATAGGGTTTTGGGGGAAAAAAGGAAAAAGCCTTCATAATTACGTAGGGTTTTGGGGAAAAGAGCCTTCATAATTACATAGGGTTTTGGGAAAAGAGCCTTCATAGTTGCATAGGGTTTTGGGGAAAGAGCCTTCATAATTACATAGGGTTTTGGGGAAAAGAGCCTTCATAATCACAGAGGCTGTTGGGTAAAAGAGCCTTCATAGTTACATAGGGTTTTGGGGAAAAGAGCCTTCATAATTACATAGGGTTTTGGGGAAAAGAGCCTTCATAATTACATAGGGTTTTGGGGAAAAGAGCCTTCATAATTTCATAGGGTTTTGGGGAAAAGAGACTTCATAATTACATAGGGTTTGGGGGAAAAGAGCCTTCATAATAACATAGGGTTTTTGGGGAAGAGAGCCTTCATAATTACATAGGGTTTTGGGGAAAAGAGCCTTCATAATTACATAGGGTTTTGGGGAAAAGAGCCTTCATAATTACATAGGGTTTTGGGGAGAAGAGCCTTCATAATTACGTAGGGTTTTGGGGAAAAGAGCCTTCATAAGTACATAGGGCTTTGGGGGCAAAGAGCCTTCATAATTACATAGGGTTTTGGGGAAAAGAGCCTTCATAATTACATAGGGTTTTGGGGAAAAGAGCCTTCATGATTACATAGGGTTTTGGGGGAAAAAAGGAAAAAAGCCTTCATAATTACGTTGGGTTTTGGGGAAAAGAGCCTTCATAATTACATAGGGTTTTTGGGGTAAAGGAGCCTTCATAATTACATAGGGTTTTGGGGGTAAAAGAGCCTTCATGATTACATAGGGTTTTGGGGAAAAGAGCGTGCAGGCCTCCACGAGTTAACTCTTTGGCGGATTGCGGGCATCGGAGATTCAAGCATCGCTATTGCCCAGCTAGGGGGTATGTCGAATATCAGGCACAGGATTCGGAGATGCAACAAGTTCTCTAAATCAGGCTCCTGTACGCAGACCACAGGATGATAATTATTTGGCACATGCGTGTGCAGCCGGGCCGAGGCGGGCGACGCGAAGCGTTTCAAATTACATAGGGTTTTGCGGAGTCATTATGCTATAATTTAATAAGGAACCACCAAAATAGTATTGGTAACTGTTTAGGCCCCTATATTTCATGACGACGACGTGCTCTCAGCCCCAGTGACGGGATGAGTCACTTCGTGGAGGCCACACTTTGCAGCTCCACGGAGACATCCCTCCGGCGTATCCTGTTTTGTACCTGCTCTTAGGGGCTTAGGGTTGAGGGTTTAGGGTTTAGGTTTTTTTTTGTTTGGGGTTTAGGGTTTAGGGTTTAAGGGTTTAGGGGTTCAGGGGTTTAGGGTTTAGGAGTTTAGGGTTTAGGGTTTAAGGGTTTAGGGGTTCAGGGTTTAGGGTATCCTGTTTTGCACCTGCTCAAGGAGAGACCTGATCAGCAGCACGACCAGGATCACCGTACTGACCACCAGCACGATGCACAAGGCCAGCAAATATCGTAGGGTTACATCCTTACTTGTCCAGTATCCTGGGGAACTGATTTTCAACCTTTTGGATTATAATATAGAGATTAGTTCTAGTAGCCAAACAAGTTAGTTAACCTGTTGGACTATTTTTTATAGATGAATTGCAGAAGTTCAAAAGGTTAACGGGCACCTGCTCTACTAACTGGGCTTTTAAGTAACCAGGGAGAAAAAAGTATAAACTTCTATTTCATAAGCGTTCCATTTAATTTAAGAAAAAAGTATTAAAGTATGGTACTTCAAAGCCCAGCTAAGCATCTTCGTGCTTGAACCACTCGAGGGCCACCGCCAAGCTGGCGAGCATCAGCGCGAGGACACTGGCACCCAGAGTGGAGCCCTCTATGCGGTTTAGGTAGATGTCCTCGTGCTCCAGGGTCCCGTTAAAGACGTCCATAAGGGTTACTATAAAAGGATCTATAAGAATCCTTTAATATAGAGGCCTTAACAACTAGAAGAGGGTTTCTGGGTCCACTATACTATAATTTGAATACGGAACAACCAAAATAGTACATCCCCCGGCGCAGTGTTGGTAATTATTTAGGCCCCTAGACCAAGTCCCAAGACAAATCGACGAACCCCAGGAAAAGCTGTAAAAAAAAAAAACAAAACAACATGTGAAAGGACCGGTTCAAACAGACGTCCTCGTATGGCCATACAGCGACATGAAGCACCAGGCTGCTAAAAAGGACACCCAGAGTGAGGGTGAGATATGTCGAGCCAGCATAGCCTTAGTTGCTGAATTACAAAGCCTCAAGAATTCAAGAACTAAGTTCTATACAGGTTGAAAATGATCACAACGGCTTAAGCTTACACTTCTTGAGCGGGTGATACTATCCCACAAAGGATAAAGTATACTCAGTCTGCGACTAGCCTCTCATCTTCAATCACCAGGACCCAAAACGCTCAATTGAAAAAGCAACCGAACACGTTGAAAGTACTACCCTAAACCCTAAACCCTAGACTTTCAGTGCTCGACCCGAAACTGGGTAAAGCATACTCATTCGGTTGCTAAGTCGCTCGGGGGGAAGAACACCCTCACTTGCAACAGCAACACCTTTCGAAGCAAGGGAACCACCTCCCACCACTCCTCGGTTGCAGGTTTAGACTTTAGGCTTCAGAAAATTTAGTGTTTAGGCAGAGTTTAGGCTTTGGGGTTGTGGGTCTGGGGATTGAAGTTTCTTAAAGAGCCACCTAGGCTCTACTGCAGGTCTGTAGCCAGATACCAGGAAGCCCATGATTTGTCTTCGTGACTGAGGCTGCCAGTTGTGCGATCTTCGAACCATTTCCAGCCAATACAGAGGCACGATCAGGATGCACGCAGAGTTGCAGATTCCAGCTATCGCTTGCGACTGTAGGGTTCGGCAGAGCTCCATAAAGCTGAAAGAGCAGAATTGCGGCGCCTTGGGAGGAGGAGAAAGCCAAGTTCATATCCCCAAACCCTCAACCCTAAAACCCCAAACCCTAAACCCCGCCTCCTGGCCATTGACTCCGTGAACCATCTGGAAGCACGAGAGTGGCTTCATGAAGTTGGCACAGACATTGGCCATGTAGCTATTGCCTCAACATTTGGGGGTTTAGAGTGTAGGGTTTCGGGGTCTAGGGGAACCAAACAATGGCCCAAGGAGGATAAAGGTTGCTTACTCTACTACACTAAGTTGCCGAGGACGAGGGTGGCTTGTATCATCACAGCTTCTCGGTGGGGAAAGCCACAGCGACTTGCGACAGAAGTCACGATCCAGCCTAGGCTGTGCCATTAAACACCTCTGGAATTTGTATATAATCCAAGGGTAAAAGGGAGGACCCTTAATAAGGACCCCTAGGTATATACCCTTAATATAGCTATTATATGCTCATTATATAGCTCATTATAGGGTAGGGGTCCCCATTAAGGGTCCCTCCTTCTCCCCTTTGATATAAGATCCTCTCAGTTTAAGTACACAACCTTCAACCCTAGACCCCATCAACCATTCCAAAGGCCTACCCAGCAGCAGGACAACAGCAGCAAAAGCGGCGGGGACACTCCGATGATGGCCCAACGCATAGAGTCGAAGTACCGCGTCCGGAAAAGACACTCGTAGCTATGCAGATTGTATAGGCCTAGGTTGGCCCCTCAATGCCTTTGGAAGCTCTTCGCAAATACGATCCTCTTAGGCCCGACAAAAGAAAAAACATGTCCCGACACGTCCCGAACGCCTACCTCCATACAATCCTCTCAGGCGCAATAAGGGAAAATGTGAAATGCCCTAAACCCTAAACCCCAAACTTGCAACTATAAGTCAAAGCCAACCCAAAGGTACGAGTTAGGATTAGAGGGACACTTCGGGATATAGACCCTATCAGCAAGGTCCTTAAGAGAGCCAAGAGGGGTCTCCCTAATATACCAATATCCTTAAGGGAGGGAGGTCCAAGGGTGGTAGATAGCCTCGTAATCCCGACCTCTCCCCAATACTCCCTAAGGTCCCCTTAAGGCTCTCAAACCCTACCTTAACCCGGAATAACCTACCTTTTTAAGGACTTATATAAGGAAATCATAAGAAGGAACCCTAAAAAGGTAGGTTATTCAGGGTTAAGGTAAACACTAAACCCTAAACCTTGGACTACCTAGACGCTTGTCGTCGACGTCATCGCCTCAGCCAGGCCAACATAACGGCGCGCGGATAACTTCGCCTAGGTTCCAGGGGTTTAGGGGTTTAGGGGTTTAGGGTTTAGGGGTTTAGGGGTTTAGGGGTTTAGTCGTTTAGGGGTTTAGGGGTTTAGTGGTTTAGGGGTTTAGGGTTTAGGGTTCTCTCTCCTGAATGTAAGGTCTTAATAACTAGACTAGGGCTAGTGACTAGGGGTTCCTTTTGAAGGGGTCTATAAAGGATAAATTGCTATAAGGGGTATTGTCTCTCTCTTTAACCCTAAGGGTCCAAGTACCTGATCACCATATACTTTCCGACATAGTAACCTACATAACTACTATCCGAGACCCGAATACCTAATTATTGGATCCTTTGGACCCTTGACATAAACGTAAGGGTGATTTAGGGGCCGTAATGAATAGAACAGGGCTCTGGGGTATATTCTACTAACATTCAAACAAGGAACCCCCAAAAAAAACATAGGTAATTATTAAGGCCTCTGTGGTACCCTTTTTCCTGGTATTCAGCTTTCATGAAGGAACCCTAAAACAAAAAGGGCAATAGGGTACTACTGCGGAACGTAGTCACCATGTGGTACTCTGGGAGACTCGAAACGGCTTGTATGACGCAGTTGCTGGCTGTCCCAAAGGAAACCATGATCCTTAGTTTGATGATCATGGGACTTAAAAAAACTAACGTCAAAGATAGGGCAATTATCGTTCTAACTCTAACCATGTACACTAACCATGTACAATCCCAATTAGGGTCGCATAACCTTTTACGTCCCGTACATAGGTGCTGACTTGCCTGGCCCGCCGAAAGGGTATACCTCTTTCATTTATGCCCTACACCCGAAACCACTAAGCTTCCAAACCCATAAACCCCATATCCTTAATCCCTACACCCTAAACCTTAACCCAAAAAATCCAAAAAGGTCGAAGGCTACCTACTCAGGTACCCTAGACTCCTAGACTCCGTGCACATATATAGTTAGGCATTGAAAGGGTTCCTTTGTTGCAACTTCAAGACCGAAGTACGTACTACACCTGCACAAGCAGCCGTAAACCTTAAACATAGAGGACCCTTAGAGTACCCTTCAAGGAACCCAAAACAGAACCCTATGGACATATGGGCACATGGAGCCCTCAGGCTACTCAGCCACTGAGGCTCTTGAAGATCACGCTCGTCCGCCGTCGAGGTTTTTGAGCTGATACCATTCCTAGGCACCGATGTTCCAAGTGCCCCCAAAGTGATGACTAGAGTTAGGGTTTTGGGTTTGGCGCCGATTGCAACAGCCCCTATGGTTACATCTAGTCCCAAAAGCCTACTTGAACTAGTTCAAACGAGGGAAATTTGACAACTGCCCCAACTTGCTACCTAGATTCCCCTAATCCCTAAACCCTACAACCCTAAACCAAGGTTCCGACAGCGAAAAGGCCAAGATGTTTCAGGATCAGCAGCAGCCACTGAAACTCCATGGGCGGGCATTGCTGACAAACAAAGGGGTCATTGACTTTCTTGCCGTAGCCGTGATCACACTTCCTGGGCGTTTTGAAGGAACTGAACCAACAGATACATACATACGTACATACATGTATATATATATATATATATATATATATATAAATATATATAAATATATAAATAAATATATATATATATATATATATATATATATATATGCTTCCTGGTCATTGGTATGGTGGCTAAACTTAGGTTACCAAGTTACTAGCCCTAAACCCTATAAGCCTAAGCCTAAGCCCAGACCCCACGTAAACACCAAGCCTATAAACTTTAAACGCCAAAAATGCCGAGAACGCCGCTGGCCCTTTGCATGGGCGCTCGAGGCTTCGACCGAGATCCTCGACCGAGTGTCCCGACGGAACGGTGAGGGAGGATAAAGCTTCGCCGTATACGAGGACTGTAGTGATGCCGCCCGGCTATCGACCTCTCTGCCGCGAGGCAATCAAGAATGATCCCAAATCCACGACCAGTGACTCCAATATCCCATAATTAAGGAATATTCCTTAAATTATAGTAGGATCCTGACTATAATTTGAGGAATATTCCTGCATTAAGGATATTGGAGTCTATGGGTTCTTTCCGTGGCCAATTGGGGCAGATCCCAGGGACACGGGGTCCCGGCCCCAGGTCGGTAGACTCCAGGAGCGCAGGGCAAACTCCAAGGCGTTCCCAGATGGGTGGTTGTCAAAATTATGGTCCCTTTTTGGGTGCTAATATGCTACGGCACCTAATATTTAGAGTCCCCCAAAAAGGGGCCATAATTTTGACAACTACCCAGATCGTAGAAGCGTTTTGACCTGCTTCAGGGGGCGACCTTCATTGCCAGGATAAGTGTTTACACTTCGAGCCACCCTTGCAGGGTGTGAGGGGCGGGTTGTTTGCCGGAAACCCTGGCTTCTCGATGACCCACAACCCGACACCAATCCATCTCAGCTGCGGTTTGCCGTGAGGGTTAGCCGTTTATGTACGAACTGCGAAGGGAAACTCAGAGCAAGAAAACCACCCTTTCGGGGGGTTTGGGGGGGTGAAGCCTAAACCCTAATTGAGAATAGTTGGGGTGCTTGGGGCGGGACTACATGCTGACGCAATCGTGCGATAATTCGGTGCGCCCCGATTCCTACACAAGCCCCCACACAGCGCGCATACTGTTACACAGCCTAAACTCCAAGCCTGCAAACCTCAAACCCCTAAACACTAAAACCCAAAACTCCTTCTGAAGAGCCCAGGGTCGTGCAGCCAGCGATATCTTGGGCATACCCAGGAGAGCACCTCGAGTTCTGCGAGTTTCCCATAGGATATACAGGTTAAACTGTGGGCTTCTGCTTAGAGGAGCAACGGACTCAGTTCAGGCTTTAGGGCTTAGGCTTTAGTAAGTACGTTATGAGGTGATAAATAAGGTAATAGCTGTAGTTAGTCATAACTACCTGAAAACCCCAATTAGAGGACTTAAAGCCTCGCTTAGTAAGTCCCGTGATCCTCCAAGTAGAGGGCTTAGACCCTAGACCCTAAACTTCGAAGGCGACTATCCTCTGCTGCTTAGGCACTGCTTCCCAAGTCCTTCCGCCATCGCGAGAACGTACCGCTGACCAGGGCAGGCGGACGGGTTTGGACAACGCCAAGCAACCATCGTTGCTCGATCGTCATAATCCTGGGCTTTGAAGCAACCAGGGTTTAAGGTTTAGGCTAAAGTTTAGGGCATTCTTTTGTTTCATAATTAATGGTTTTTAAACCCTAAACCCTAAAGTTCCCTTTTAAGTAACATGTCTCCGAAACAATATTTAAAAAGTGGTACTCCAAAAGCTCAGGATCTGACAGACGGTGCACAGTAATCATGACACCGCGAGGTACTTCCCTGGGTTCTTGCTAAGGGAATTAGTTTAAGTTACTGTAGGAACCTGATTAAGAAACCTTGGGCCGTTATTAGGGTTCCTTATATGAATCCTACGGTTTGGGGGCTATAGCCCAGGGTCTCTTAATCAGGTTCCTACATTACCAGAAAAAAAGAAACCATATTAGGTGTTATAGATCCCCGTTATGGTAACTTAAGTCAAACTCTCAACAAGAACCCAGCTGCATGCTGCCCCTCCCACAAGAAATTGTGGTGTCGACAGACTGTGCAAGAAGAGTGCAGTCGTTGCAGGAATGCTTTTGCCAGTGTCGGTCGACATTTCTTGCTGCCCAGGCAATCTGGTGGAACTCCAACCTGGACCCCCAACAAATCCGCCTTTGAGTATGGCTCCAGTTACCTACATACACGTTACCGTGGCCCATACTTGATGGTTAGTAACCTGCGATTCAGGTAGCTGTGTTTGAGGACGTAAACTCAAAAAACATATGCAACCAGGAGCCCTAAACACTAAACCCCTGAATTTCGGGCCCAAGCACGGCATATTGACAAAACCTGGCGACATAGTTCCATATTGACAGGGGGCGCAGGTAGCACTCAAGACTCCTCGGTGGGCCCTGTAAGGTTTAGGCTTCAGGGTTGAAGAAGATCAAAGGTTAGGACTCGCTGAAAATAAGAAATGCCCCCAACTGCATACCTAGACTCTCATGAGGCTTCGGACGGTACAGGAGCTGCAGAAAACGTCCAGGCAAAGACACGGCCAGTCAGTGGTGCATTCCTAGGTTCCCAGTAAGCCCCCAAAACAGCGGTAACAAATGAGAAGAGTAACAACAAAAGCAACATAGTAAAAACTCATAACAGTCATACCACCACCACCACCAACAGTCACACCACCACCACCACCACCACCACCACCACCACCACCACCACCACCACCACCACCACCACCACCACCACCACCACCACCACCACCACCACCGCCAAGACCACAACCACCACCAACAACAACAACAAGGTTCAACAAGCAACAACCACAACCACTACCACAATCACCACCACAACCACACCCACACCCGCACGCCCACACCCCCACAAACACCCACACCGACACCAACACCAACACCGACACCCACACCAACACCAAACACCAACACCACCGCCGCCGCCACCACCACCACCACCACCGCCACCACCACCACCACCACCACCACCAACAACAACAACACAGACAAGGACAAAGTACCACCTTTCCCAGGATTCAACCGGGAATTTGCAAGATTTTGATTCCAACGGGATTTTGCAGGATGTTCAAAAGATTTTCAAGGATTACAGAAGGGCTTTGAAGCATTTTCAATGCATGTCTAAGGACTCGGTTTATCAGGGCGCGTGCTGTAGATGGCCAGGATTCACGGGTGTCTAGGTTTAAGAGCCTGAGTTGTCCTTTCCCGCTAACACCGTTCCCTACCATTTCTTGGGTTGCTTGGAATCACCGGGTTATTTGAAGCACAACCAGGGGTCTTAAAAAATACCGGGTTTTTTCTAGTATAGGATTCGGGGGTTGTTTACTTGGAGCCATGTTGGGCTCAATGGCTGTGGCTTGCTAGCAAGATAACGAAAGATGGAGTCAGTTGTCCCATATGCCACCTGCAAGCCATGCCTAATTCAAGCATAATCATCCCTTGAACCGGAAGTGGAATCCAGCTCAAGCACCCCTGAACACCCCGAACACCCCAATGCCTCCCATGTTATCGCTCGGCGTCGTGCAGCTCCAGCGGCCATGCCAATTGTAGACTCTTGGCCCATTGATTCTTCTTCGGTTTACATACTGTAGGCATGCCTTATACTATGTGTGCACAGGCAAGTGTGTATTGATGAGAAGAACGAAATGATGAAATGAAGTATTTTGACGAACAAATCCAACGAAGGAAGAAAGAGGACCTGGAAAGGATGGAGGTATCATAGTTCATGCGGGCATACCCGCATGAACGCACATAAAAAGGTATGATAGGATGGGACGAATGCAATCGTCAGTAAAGCTCCATGGCGAGTCGTACATTAAATTGGCATGGTAGGACATGAAATATCATGATGAAGCCAACTTCGAGTATCTATGTACATGATTAACAAGTGGTATGTATAGGTATTTATGTACATGTATATATAAACCCATGTGTACATATATAGGAGGACGTGAAGTGACAGTCAATGGAAGGAACTGCAATGGAACGAACACATTGCTGCATGAGTGAGTGGGACCTGCGAAAACTCAAACATCCATAGACGGACTGATGTCTGAACTGGAGCGTGCAAGGTAAAATGGTGTTCACATAGCATGAATGGATAAAGTGATTCATGAGGGGATACCCATCATTGACTGGCTGAAAGACTGTGTGAAAACAACTGAATGCATAGAGATGGGACTGGCATATATAGAAACAGGCATGACATTAATTTAAAACACGTTACAGGGGCGAGATCCTTGCTCGGGCGAGTGAGTGAAATAATGACATTCTGTATGCATTCGTGTACACGTTTTACATGTTTAGATACCAACATATACAGTATATATATATATATAATTAAAGATCTTGAGTAAGTGTGTACGTATCATGTATGTGCATGTGCGTGTCTGTTTACATGTGTGCATACATGTGTGCATGTGTGTGCACACATGTATGGCAAATGACTACATGTGAGGAAAAACATATATATATATATATATATATATATATGTGTGTGTGAACATGCATATAAATATGTATATATATATATATATGTTTGACCTGTGTTTATGTGTATGCATGTAGGTGTGAACTGTTGTGGATACGTATGTTTGTTTGTTGTATTCATGCATGTATATATGTATATACAGTGTGAATGTGCTAGATGTTGGCACTGCATAATCATCGATTTGTTTAAGTATGTATGCAGGATGAACATATGCATGTGTCCAAGTAGGTCGGTACATAGGTAGGTAGATGGGTATGAACTTGACGGTATAAAGGTAGCACATAGGTATGTAGATACACAGGATCGAATGTATGCTACTAGGCATTCGCAAGAGTATGTATGTATAGGTATGTATATACACATGCATGTGTGATATACATGCAGATCTATATCTCGATCTACATGCATATACATATATATATATATAGATATATAGATGTGTGTGTATATATATATATATATATATATATGTATTTTTTATATCTATAACTATACCTATGTCTTTATCTAGATCTGTATATGGGTGTACATGCATACATAAATATGCATGTGTATATATATATATATATGCCCTTATATGCTTGTATACATGTGTTTGTGTGCTCGGATGCACATACACATGCACGTACATACGCATGTGCGTGTGTATGTGTTGTGTGCATATCTGGACACATGTGTCTGTGTACATAACAAGAAATAATCACATGCATGATTCAATTATGCCAGGATGGGTGAATGTGTACATGCCGTTGTATGTCAATGCACATGCACATGCATGTGTATCAATGTATGCGACTAGACATATCTAAATATATAGATACACATACCCATCTACACATGTTTATATTGGCATGTTTACGTAGGGATGTGAACCAGGCTAGAATTCCCACATAACCCACGGTATCAAACAGTTATCAACAGGCCAGATTTGCGCCACACAGCAAAGCAGGCGGCTAAATAACGTTCAAACGTTCTGCTAATTACACTCCGAATCGAGACTCGGCGTGAAACTCTGGATACCCTTCCCACCACGTCTTCGTCTTGCTGGCAGCCCGTGGCCAGAGGATTCATGGCGAAGCCATGCTGCCTTGCTTGAAAATGGACTTTGAGCATGATGTGGTCCATGGAATGTAATTTCGGGATCAACGGAAATTGCCCGGGTGACTCTGCCTGAAAGTATATTCGAGCAAGCTCAGTGTAGCATCTCAAAAAGAGAAGCCCTCGTCGACTAACATAAGTCGCTTCACTCATGGACAGAAAGACCCCAGCACTGTACAAGAAACTGAACATGCTGTTGAGACATTCTGCAGCACGAAAGGCCATCAGGATTCTGTTGTCACCCAGATTCGTGTGTCGGCGTAAAATGCTTTCCAACCAAAGCAAAAGGTTTGTAGTCAGCACACCTTTGTGCCATCCACCAAGCGCGCCTGTGCTCTGCCCGTAGTTAACCATACTCGCTCCAATTTTGGTCACGAAAGGCTGTCTCTTGGCAGCCTTGCACCACGACAAATACTCTTGTGTGATAGCATCCCACCTAAAGTCCATTGTCAAACAAGTCAAAGCAGGCAACGTGAGAATCAGCATGATTATGCAGGAAGCTGCAAAGGACTTTCCAACTCCCAAGTGCACTGTGTGCCATAAGTCTGGTTGATAGAAAGTGCCAGGGTCTGTATTCGAGTGGGGCAAAAATCTCAGCATTGGAGGTGTTGCCTGCCATGGCGGGGGTGCTGGAATGGTTTTCAGCCACTGCGAGTCTGTGTAGCCACACTCCTCTGCTGGGTAGTTTTCGGTTCCAGCCATGCATAAATGGCAAACCCCTTTTCCGTGAGCTTCATTGCCCAACTTCTTTACACCTCGCGAAAAGTGTCTCGTGAAATGGCCTGCACGAATTAGGAACGGCCAGTCTCCTTTGCATGCGATGACACAGAGCCGATAGGTGACTCCTCCCGAAGTGTAACCAGTCAACAGACACCGAGACAGGTCTTCACTCAACTCGCTGCAGGCTCCATCGAAAGAAGACTCAGTGATAGTCTTGGACATTATGTTCGTGACAAACCTCGTCGTATAAGAATGCCCAGCATAGTTGACTTGCCAGCTGCTCTCACTGTTGGCTGCTTCTTTTCTCGTCCGCCCATTGACTGAACAACCAAAGCCCAGGCAGGATTGTATTCCCATGATCATCAGCGCACTCTTTTTCAGGGTTCTGCCTTCATCGCCGTGTATGTACACGGCTGCTGTGTTCTCAGCATCAAAGCCAGGCTTCACGAAATCGGGGTGCAGCTGAAAATACCTGCTCCAGAAGCCAGACCACGTGATCTGGCATTGCTGAAGATTTGGAAATGACAAACCTGCCAAATGGAACCAAAGGTTGTGGTCAACTATGTACTTCAACCACGTCATCGGGCGAATCCAATCTATGCAAAGCCCCGCCCCTAATTGCATCCTGGCGAATTCCAGCTCCAATCTCAAGCCTTGCCGCTTGATAACTCGCTGCACATCACGCTCAGAGTTGCAGAGGCCTGACGTGGCCCATTCACGAACACCTGCTTCGGCTACAGCCTCTTCTCCAAACTGCTCAGTCATCGCCCGTGCGAACTCGATCTGCGAGGTGCAGCTGGCCTCGGACGGTAGCTCACATGAACATGTCATGCCTCATCATGACTGGTTTATATTGTTTCAAAGCACTGCTTCAATGCACTGGATGCGCTTTCAGAATGCTGTCACTGAAAACAGAGAATGCATGTAGCAAGCATGGCTGAACGAGACTTTTGCGACCAGTCCTGTTGTCGTCCGCAAAGCATGCATTGCACACCCTTTCAGCGAATTAATATAACTTGTGGTCCACACAGCAGTCAAACCACCACGAATTGGCATGGCTGTGCCTTCTGACAGACATTGTAAGAGCATCGACGAGGTTTGAATATTTCACTGAGACTACAGAGGCTGCAATCCTTTCATCGGCGGCGGATGCTTGAAAGATCTGGAAACGACATATGTAAAGTACGGCCCACTCAAGCTTGCATTTTTCGGCATCGTGTCCCCACCCAG